GGTGACGTCATAATCCGGCTCCATTAAGCGGCGCACGAGGGAGCTGAGCAGGAAGAGCTCAGGTGAGCATGCTGCCTCGCTGCCCGCCTGGGGGGGCTCAAAAGTGGCCAGCTCTTAAACCTCCCAGGACACGAGGCAAACAAGGGATCTGCCTGGGCATTTAGGGGCGGCTTTTTTTGCCGCCCCCTGCAAAGTGGCGTCCAAAGCAAATGCCTTGTTTGCCCCGCGATAGATACATCACTGCAACTCCCTCTAGAATGCAAGCTTGTTTGAACAGGGCCCTCCAGCTCGTCTGGTTACAAACGCATACCTGTTAGTCCACCTCTTGTACAGCGCTACGGAATCAGTTGGCGCTTTATAAATAAGTTTCAGAACCTAGGTTTTTTTTTTTGCACCATTTTTGTGAATAACATTGTTGGGGTTTTATCTCCTCACACTCACAATTATAAGGACAGGGATGAAATGGAAATAATAAGTCATTGCTCTCAGATACTCCAGGGTTTTGCACTTTGTTGGCATGGGCAGAGATTATAAATGGTTTACCTAATCCGGAGCTGTGATTCATTTACTGAGAATAAAGTTGGAGACCTTGCTTCACACTGGGTTATATTTAGAAACAGCCACAATGCCCCACAAACTGATCAACAAAGAATTGCACACGCTCAGCTTATTCACTATTCAGACAGAGGGGTTCCACAGGAGCAACAGGAAAGACACAAAGTATCAATAACTGCATGGAACGTGGAACATGCCAATCGCGTGCTTCACGGCAGCAGCCAATCGGTGCGAGCGTACCATGCTGGCTGGGTGACGTCATGTCTCTGGGAGCTGACCTATCTTGGCACCCAGAATGTCTTACTGGAGCTGTGTCCCAGATCACCGTGGGAGGGAGTCCTCCCCAGCCAATCAGGTCGTGACTACGTGTGAAACGTCATGGCTGGAGCTTAGAGCAATAACAATAACAAGCCCAGTGACAAAGACAGCTGCAGCAGCTGTGTGCATGCAAAGGGACAGCTTACTGGGCTCCATACTGAGAGGGAGACACCATGTCTGACAGCCAGGCACAGAACCTGCAGGATGAAAACTTACAGGGTAAGAGAAAAATCAATATGAAGACCCCCTCCTTGTGCCTATATATATCCAGGCATAGCAGTAGCCCCCCTCCCCCAACCCCTTCAGCTCTGTGCCTTTCTAGCCAAAACATATTTTCTTTATAAAGATCTCACATCATGGGTGGCCAAAAGAAATACCCCTGCCAAATGGTGTAGTACCCCAACCTTAATTCTTGGGGAAGCATGACGGGAGTTGGAGTACTACAACGTCTAGTGGGTCTACCTTTTGCCCTTCTCTGTCCTAGGTGGAATTTAAGCTATTCTGCAAATCTTATTTGTTTATTGGAGATGTGTTTACTGACAGCCTGTTTGTTTTCGAACAGGCTTCGCAATATAATATTTCACATGGCAGTGGACTTTAACCCCCTAAGGACACATGGCATGTGTGACATGTCATGATTCCCTTTTATTCCAGAAGTTTGGTCCTTAAGGGGTTAATGCATAGTAGTTTATATCAGTGTGTCTAATTATATAACTGTCAGTATGAGTACCAGCTTTCTTTATGCAAAATATGTAAAGCACTCTGGATAACAATGCTATATAAGAATTGTTTAAAAGATAAATAACATTATTTGTTTACTTAACATTGAAAACTGAATTGTGGCAAATTAAAATCCAAATTCTATCTGCCCAATGGTGTTTATGTTCTGAAACAAATATGGGCAAAAAACAAAACACACACACACACACCTCCACTGTAACCGTGGTTTGTCTATTTTAGCTTGACTTTTGCAATTTGGTTTTCAATTTACGGTTTCACACTAATTTACTGTTTAGTAAATACAGCCCAGAATGTTTCTAAGTAGCCAAACTGTAGGGTTTGAAGCACTTAGAGGGTGTCCCTTTAAAAAGGTACCAAAATCCTTTGTATAAGTGAACCCGTTACATTAGTACTACACTAAACATCATTAAAACTGCACTGCCACTTGTGGGATCTATTTGAGCATTTTTTTGGAAAGCCCTACAAAGGGACTTTGTCTGTGTGAACGTGGCAGGTATATTTACCTTAATCTATCCCTTCTTGGTGCCACCAATATGCTCTGCATGCATGAAAGTACAGAGTCAATGGGGGATCCAGTGAGATCATTTGAAGATAATCTTGCGCATGCTCAAACAATAAGGAGCTATAGACTTCTACTGCGCAGTCCAGAAGATCATACCGGCTTCCTTCAGCAGTTGCTGAAATTCCACCTTTTGTAGAAGATTGCCAATTAGATAAGACAAAGTAGATTCAGATCTTTTGAGTTATTAGAAATTCAAAAAAATTCCAATACAGTAAAAAAAAAGCTTTATTAATAAAGTTTCTATGATTACAAAATACACTAAAGTGACAGCCGTTTCAAAATCAGTGCTAGTGTCAATATGTATACTGCAAATAGGACTAAACCTAACCCTCACCTATAGGAGTTATTTACCAAACCCGATAAAATAGAGGTAAGGGAATTGCTAATTATTGGCCAACATATTAGAATTTAAACAATTCCCCAACTTCGCTATTTTGTTTCCTCATCTTTGCGGTTTTGGCTTAATATATGCTATTCTTTAGTCACCAGTTTATTACATAAACCCTGTGCCCTTGTGATATAGTTAATGTATTCCTAACATTATAGTGTTCTCACTAATTAAGTGTCCCCATCCCATCCCCGTGAGAGTATAAAAAAAAAAAAAAAAAGTAAGATTTACTTACCTTATATCTCGACCTCTGTCCAGTGTCGATATCCCTCTGCGCTTGCTCGGGTCCACATTGGGGGGAGACCTAATGCATATGCGCGCCAATGGCCGTGCTCGCATTAGTACTTCCCCCATAGGAAAGCATTGTACAATGCTTTTCAATGGGGATTTGGGTGAAGCTGGGCGTCCCCATGCATAGCACGAGAACGTCCTGCGTCAGGCGACCAAAAGTCTCCCAATGGCCGGAAGACCCCCAAGTGGCTGTCTGATAGACAGCCACTAGAGGTGGCGTTAACGCACCAAGCCAATTATTGCAGTTTCTTTAAAACTGCAATAATTATCTTTGTAGGGTTAAGGGACCTGGTACAGTGCACCCCAACCACTTTAATAAGCTATAGTGGGCTGAGTGCGTCTAGTGTCCCTCTAACCTTGCAATGAAAACATTGCATATTCTACAAAATGACTATTTTACAAGGCAGGGTTAAAACAACAGAGGCATTGATCTGGTTGCCTTTAGTGTATCTTTAATTCACACATGAGCAGGGTTCCTTTAAAACTGCACTGAAGAAAAAGTCAGATAAAGAAGTCTTGGAGCCTTGTATTCAACCATACATTATATCGAGGGGTTAATGAGTTCTTTACAGCATTTCTTAATAACACTCAGTCATCTATAGCTGTACAGATCACATGGTTCCAACCTTTACTAGGTATAATAATTAAATAAATCAGGCAGTACTTCTGAAAGAAACTGTGTACTTCCTTACCTGTTCAGTCACATGTTGTAAAAGGCTGAATTGAAAACTCTGAAGCAGTTTTTTTTTCTCCATATGGTGTTTTTTTTTTTGTTTTCTCTCTCAATGCACCAGCTGCATGTTATTATATGCATCATTAGACACACCTTTTCATTTTATAACATTGTTTATCATTGATTGGGTGAAGGAGTTTGTTTTGCCTGACTCCAACACCAAGCTTATAGATTCAAAAGTGACAAGAGCCAAAATGACTGCTTTCATGTTAATAGCGGTGAACTGTTACTTCAAGCACCATAACCACTACAGCAAGGAAACCTTAGGTTCTGTCCTTCCAATTTTAAGCTGTTTAACTGAAGTCGAGGTTATCTTTAGCAACCCAAATGATGATGGGATAATGGGGACTGGTGATGGGATAATGGGGAAGTTTCACCTGCTCTTTATCTGCAAAGCAAGAATGCTAATAATGTTAGTGGAGTTAGTCAAATCATTGTTAACCCCGTCTGGAGTGCTGGTTGGAGAGAAGCTCCCTTTTCCCAACTATTTTGACCTAAATTCAGTTAAAAAGATTCCCTTATTTGGCTGGTAAACCCAAAGTGTGTAGCAATCTTAAAAGCAGAAATGATGTTGTGTTGAAACACTTGTAGCTGTATTGTTCAACAGGGTGGCTTTTAAAATTTTTTTATAATTGAATGCCCCCTTGCATCCAGAGTTTTAAGTGCTTCTGTGGTTTCATCTCTTGCAGTCTTTGAAACCGTATTGTACTGCTTTGTCTTATTGCCATTTCCAGAATAAAAATCACAATTCCTCTCTTCTGCCTGTAGTCTTTGAAATCTCTCAATATTTATAAAACAAATATACTTGTGTATATATAAAGAATTATTTGCTAAACTCCAGATTTGAGTAAATTAAGGCTTGTTTTAATATTTTTGAAAAAGCATTTAAAATAAATTAATATCTTGGGGAAAAAATATGTATACATGTGATATTTTAATATTTTGGAAAAAAATTATTTTAAATGCTTACCCAAAAATATTAAATGGAAGCCTAAATCTAAATTGTAAAATGAGGCTAAAATAGCCATTATCTGACTATAGTGGAGTTTAATTTCTCCAGACCACCTCTTTTGGCTTGGATTTTTTTTTTTTCTTTTAATTTTTTTATTATTCTTATTATTATTTATAAAGCACTAACAGACCAGTATTTGCAAGAAGACCAGTTGGACACACAGGAACATAGGGTGTAGAGTGCCCTGATCAAACATTTTGAGTTTATTGTTTATAAGTGGTTTTTACTTTAATAGACACAGACGTGTTCAGCTTTCAGCATGAATGGCTTTTTTTTTCTGTGGATACGTGCAGTTTTACCCACAGCTCATCAGGCTGCAGGCGTGACCAGACACACGCTGCTACAGTTAGATTAGGGTTGCCAGGTCCACCAGTTTTTCCCAGAAACATCACTTCTTAATATTATTGGATGGTACATATTATGGGATATACTACAGAGAATGTAGAGTATATATGCTGCGTTAGGATAAACAAATTATATACGCATCACGGCAGCACTTTCCCAACAGCTTGAAGAAATGATGGAGTTTGGTAAAATTAAAAAAAATAGTGAGGTTTGCAATCCCTTTGGAAACCTTTTGGGGGGAAAAAAGAGAAATCAAACTGCTAATTTTTGGTTAAAATCATTAACTTGCCAATTTTTTTAAAAAAAAATGTATTTTTATTTCTCCAGACTGTTGTTACGTAAACTTTGCAATTTATTTTTCAATTCACCAATATGTGATATTTGGTAGTGAATAAACTTCTTGCTTTTGAGTGTATAACGTACATATTTAGACCCTTGCAATTAATAATGTAAAACATTTTGTTACATTAAAATAGTGTTAAAGGAACACGATAGTCACCTGAACAAGCTTAGCTTAATGAAGCAGTTTTGGTGCATAGAACATGCCCCTGCAGCCTCACTGCTCAATCCTCTGCCATTTAGGAGTTAAATCCCTTTGTTTATGAACCCTAGTCACACCTCCCTGCATGTGACTTGCACAGCCTTCCATAAACACTTCCTGTAAAGAGAGCCCTATTCTGTTTAATTAAGATTTTCTTTTCCCCTGCTATGTTAATAGCTTGCTAGACCCAGCAAGAGCCTCCTGTATGTGATTAAAGTTCAATTTAGAGATTGAGATACAATTATTTAAGGTAAATTACATCTGTTTGAAAGTGAAACCAGTTTTTTTTTTCATGCAGGCTGTGTCAATCATAGCCAGGGGAGGTGTGGCTAGGGCTGCATAAACAGAAACAAAGTGATTTAACTCCTAAATGACAGTGAATTAAGCAGTGAAATTGCAGGGGAATGATCTATACACTAAAACTGCTTTATTTAGCTAAATTAATTTAGGTGACTATAGTGTTCCTTTAATCTGACAAAGTAAAAAAAAAAAAAAAGTCTGAAACTTGGAACTGCTACTGTTTGCTTTAGAGTGGCTCTGTCATTATATATATATATATATATATATATATATATATATTATTTTTTATTTTTTTTTTCGGGCCCCAGCAGTGGTCTATTTGGCCTGGGACTCGTTTGCCAGGTTTCAGAATTTCTCCATGGCGCTCGCTGAAACATTGCTCCTCTGCCCTCTTCATGTTATTGGTCACATTGGGTACCCTAAACACTGCCCAGACCATAGAACCTAATAAGGATTGCCATCGTGATCCTGCGAGACTCAATGCTGTGAGGAGGTGACTTGACGCTGTAAGATCTAAGTAAAGTACTCGACACCCAGTGGAAGAGTTGACAAATAACATGGAGCTTTACAGACTTCTCTGTACGCTTCGATCAGCTGACAGATACTTTCATTCATTTATGAACAGAACTGTAGATGCAGCCAAGCCATACAATGTTATTCACAAGTTTCTATGAATTAAATCCAAATGGCAAAATTGAGGATAAAATAGCTTGTCAGGAATAGCTACATTTTCCAATTTAGCTATTATCACAGGGTGGCTACTTTAGCCTAAGCTTTGCAATTCTTTTTATTACTTTATCTGTATTGGCCTAATTTTTTTAATTCATTTTAATTCTCATAAATTCTCACTTTAGTAAATGGCATTTATTACGTTTATGGGTAGTAGATACATAGACTCCATGTGTTCTGTATTTCAGCTGAGGGTGGTCTTATCGCTGCAGTAATTTCTATAATTTTCTGAGAATATAAGAATCTAAGTACAGGGTGACAGAAATCTACTTGCACTCTAAACATTGCAAGATGCCCAGGTTCTATTGATGCTTGTTCTGTCCCTTTGAATGGAACCTAGAAAGCTTCGGTATATTTACCGGTATTTCCCTGTTCCTTACCAGGTTTAATTACCAGACTTTAACAGCCATGTCCAAACATGTCCAGTATGGCCTGTTACAGATCTTTGATCTTTGATGTGGCAGGGAACTTGCCTACCATTAAACCTTCACACCCTCTGTGACATAGTTGGCTAGGACTGTAACTGCATACACATTTTCATGAACATAATACACTTGTATTTTTTATATTCTATGTTCTCTTTCTGCTAATTAAGTATTTCTTCAATTTCTGTTATTAATATCTAGTGAATTGAATACCGAATTACAAAAATTAGACCAAAACAACGAATGAAAAAAATTAACTATACTCGTACTTTGTCCCTTTTAACCTAAATATTACAAATCAATATTTGGTGAATAAATGTGTTTTGTGTTCAAAAGTATTTTAAGTGTCTTACATTTTTTGTTTTGTTTGTTTGTTTTACATAAGCTTAGGCAATACATGTGCATTGCAAAACATTTGTCGTCTGTTTGTGTGTTTTCCTCCCCGGTTTTAGGCAGTATGTTAGTATTGCATTGATAATGAAACATTACTTCTACAAAATCAAATATAGCAAAGTATGTATAATTTGGCAAATCAGAATGAGTGCTCTAAAATTCAGAGGTTAGTAAATAAACTTTAAATTGGGTTTATTCACTAAACACTAGTTGGAAACTGAATTTCAAAATTTAAGTAAAAATAGATGATTTAGGGAAAAAATCTCCATTTCAGTAATACTCATAACTTGGCTCAATTTTACACTTTGGTTTTCAGTTCACTACAATTCACTGTTTATAGAATACACCCAAATGGCACACTAACTGGGTTATTTGCTAAACTTCAGATTTGTGCGACTTTAAGGGACACTATAGTCACCAGTACAACTACAGCTAATTGTAATTGTTCCATGCAGGATTTTTGCAGTAAACACTATCTTTTCAGAGAAAAGGCAGGATTTACATTATAGCCTAGGCCCTAGGGACACCTCCAGTGGCCACTCCTCAGATGGCTACTAGGGGTGCTACACAGTGTGCAGAACTAAGATTTAACCCCTTCCTCCCTCTAGAGCCCAGTGGGAGGAGGACCCAGAAGGTGGGGGGGACCTAGAGACCCTATAGTGCCAGGAAAACAAGTGTGGTTTCCTGGCACTATAGTGGTCCTTTAATGATGCGAATCTAGTTTAAACAGGGCCTTCACCTCTAAATATCCCTTTTCTATAATTGTAGAATTTGTTGGAGTAAATAAAAATAAAATAATAATAATAATAGAAAGCACAATTATAATCGAATTGACTGTGCTTAGATGCCTCCAGTGGCTATATGTGGTACAGCACTCGCAAAAAAAAGCCTTCATTGATATACTGCAATGTTGTTGTCATGTTATGCTAGTGTTCTTGTACTCCACTGACTCTGCAAAGTGACTGCCTATTGTTTCATGTTTGAGATAGCAAAACACACTAAGTATAGCCACTCCTTGAAAATACATTTTCACTATTGATTCATGGAGTTCTTTTAACCTTTTGGGTATGTAATGAGATCATTCTGTTGTACTGAAAGAGGTAAAGTTAATCTGTTACCTTCCAAGATCCAAGTAAAAAAAGGTGATAATTTGTCACCTTCCCAGATACTTACCTTACTGGTGAATTCAGTCCTTTATTTTGATGGAATCCAATATAACCTGACTGCCTTAGAGGGTGAGTGAGATAAAAGGGACATTGTACACAATTTTTGAGTTTAGTGAACAAAATCCCGAAGTGAATTGGGAAAGATATTAATTCATCTATGTTTTCACTTGTTACATTAGCCTAAATTTACTGCGAATGAATATCTGCTTGCCATGGCTGAATATTCACTTGTCAATGGCATGTGAGTAAGTGGAAATATTATATATATCTTGGTATAACCAAGTTTTAGAGGCAAATTTATTGAGTGAGCAATGCATTGAGTTTTGGGAGATCTTTTCAGTTGTAATACGTTGCGTAACGATTTGTAAAATGAAAACCAAAATAGCCAAGTTGTAAACAATCTCAGTCATTATGTTGGAGAATTTTCCCAATTCCACTGACTTGGCTTAGATTGTGTTTGTTGTCCGCTTATGATAGCACACCGTTAAGTGATACATGCTCCTCAGTGATTTTAAGTATAAATCATTTAATACCTATTATGCACACTAATGGGCACAGAGACAGCACTGCGTCAAGAAAATGTTGTCAACAGTGAACACATCTTTGGCATGCCCACTGATGTTACTTGCCAATATGATGGTGACACAGTATGTGATCACAAAAAAGCCGGTTGTTGATGTGTCATCAGAAATGGTACAACATTTTTTATTCAAGGAAAAATGCCCTAATGTTGATTCCTATTTTTTTTTCTGATTGTAAATGATTGAAAGTAATATAGTTTCCATACATATTATTTTGAAATGAGTACATATAGGTTTAATAAATATGTTTAGAGCATCTCTTGGCTTATGATGGCTCTGTGTGTGTGTGTTTCAATAAAGCAAGAAAAACATTGAACAGTATATAATAAACATTTATAAACTTAATAAACTTGGTCAGATTGTTTCTCCAGCCTTCTTCTGTGTGTGTATGAGGGGTGCTGTGTGTGTGTGTGTATGAGAGGTGTTGTGTGTTTGTGTGTATGAGGGGTAGTGGTGCTGTGTGTGTTGTGGGGGGGGATAGGGGTGCTGTGTGTGTGTGTGGGGGGATAGGGGTGCTGTGTGTGTGTGTGTGTGGGGGGATAGGGGTGCTGTGTGTGTGTGTGGGGGGATAGGGGTGCTGTGTGTGTGGGGGATAGGGTGCTGTGTGTGTGGGGGGGATAGGGCTGCTTTGTGTGGGGGATAGGGCTGCTTTGTGTGGGGGGAGGGGTGCTGTGTGTGGGGGGTGGTAGGGTTGCTGTGTGGGGGTAGTGCTGTGTGTGGGGGTAGGGCTGCTGTGTGTGGGGGTAGGGGTGGGGAGGGATGCTGGGTGTGGAGGGAGGGAAGCTGGGTGTGGGGGAGGGGAGGGGTGCTGTGTGGGGGTAGGGGTACTTTGTGTGGGGGTAGGGGTACTGTGTGTGGGGGGTAGGGGTGCTGTGTGTAGGGGTGCTGTGTGCTGGGGTAAAGGTGTTTAAAAAAAAGTATGCTAAATCAGTATCCCACCCCCCTCCCTCCTTCTTACCTTTAATTAAGGAGGGGGGGGGACACAGCCATCCCTGGTGGTCCGGTGGTGGCAAGCACTGCTTCAGTGTTGGGAGGCAGGGGGAGGGATCTGTGAAGCAGCTCCCCTGCCTTCCTGTGCGATGCTGTGTGGAGCGTTGCCATGGTAATGCGAGGCAACGCTCCACACAGCTTGCTCGTGAGAGGACATGGGAGCTGCTTCACAGATCTCTCCCCCTGCCTCCCAACATGGAAGCAGAGTAGGCGCCTGCCGTTTTGGGCAGGCAGGTGCCTACTCTGCATTGATGGCGAACCTATGGCCGCGTGCCCACAGAAAGGGCCGGCGTGCCACCTGTGGCACGCGTGCCATAGATTCACCCTCACTGCCCTATAGTGTTCCACCTTTCCTTTTTTTTTTTTTTTTAACAAAATTAAATAAAATACTTCTAGTTTTTCCTTGGGCATATTGAGTTCAGCATAATTTTAGAGGTCTAAGGACAATTTCCAGTTTCTGGTTGTTTATTGGCATCACATACTCTTAGCAGCCTTTATTGTTTTTAAAATGTTGAGGCCATTCCAAGAAGACTCATCTCTACACTGACAATAACATCTAAAATGAAGTAATTCTTGTGGGCTGTTATTTACTAGCATTGCGGATAGTACCGGTCAGAGTGTATTACTATTTTTAACTGAACTTTTGTTCTGCTGCCTCGATATGAGAGGAAAACAAGCATCATGTGACTGGTAGGCAGTTTATTTCAACACACATTCAGATAAATTGGAAATCCAACGATGACAGTACAAGTATGCAGCTTAGTGACTTGAATCTAGTTCCTTTTGTTCCAAGTAAATAACATTACAGGCTTCAAGTTAATAATAAAGCTGTTAATGTGATTGCACTTGAATAACCCCTTTTTTCCCACTCTCTCTTTCACTAGCAGAACTACATTATACAATGTTTGCGCTTTTGAAACAGTTCCTGGATCCCATTAACAAGAACGAGATTTTAAAAAAAATGGAACCAGTAGATCTTTTTTTTTTTTTTTTTTTATTCACTCGGTGGTTATAGTAATTTAAATATCCATTTTAACTCCTTTTCTCATTTACAATGATTTTTGTTGTTTTTTTTTTTTTAACCTATCTTTATAAGTAGATAATGTTTTCACTTTACTTTGCCTATTTTATTTGATATGTTACACAATGAAATGTTTTTTTTTTTTTGGACAAATAATTTTGACTCCATACTTTCTTTTTTAAATTATTATAATTTTTATTTTATTTTTTATGTTTCCTGCTCTATTTATTATATATTTATGTTATTTGGCCAGCAGGTTCATGGGTAGAACTGCACTTCAGCAATAATGGACATGGCAGTACCATGCAACATTTGGGCCAGGAGCAGGTACCCGCCTCAATTTCTATTCACAATGGAGATATGGAGAAAATCTTACTGGATGCACAGCATGAATCGGGAAGAAGCAGTTCTAGAGAGAGTTCACACTGTGATAGGTATGTAAACGTTTTAAGACATTTGCTTTGTCTTATAATGATATAAAGCATTTCATTTGATGCAACGTCAATTTCTATAATTTAATTCTATAAAAAAAATATATATTTTTTTAAATACACCTTGTTACACTACATATTCACCATCACCTGAAACATGAAAAAGACTGGGTTGCGCCTTCTATCCTATCAAAGGCAGCAGTCAGCAGTCAGCAAGTTGAAAGTCTCCTTGCTACTGTAGTGAGAGAACCTATTTTGAATAATGTTGGTAAAGTGGATCCTATTGTGCCCATTAAAAAAAAGTAGGTTATAGTGACTTGCAACCTGCGCAGCCCACAGAATTCAAGCTGAAAGATAAAAGTGCATGGAGTTTCATCCTCATAGGAAAAACCCGCTAGTACCCTGAGTTTTTATTATTTGAGTCCCCTAAAAAAAAACAACCCAAAAACGTGTTTTTGTAATGTAGGAAGGCAGCCCGTAGGAGAGAGCAAAACCACAACGAGAATCATACCCCATGCTCACTGGATCAAGGGCACTCCTCTTAAACAGGTGTACTACTGGGAATACACTTCTAGCTTAAAGGCACTGTCACTAAAAGTAACTTATTGGCTGTGCTAATTTGTATTTATTTATTTTTAAAGTCACATGAGATTTTATTTTGATTTACGCACTTGCCGGAAACACTGTGCAAAGCATGTAAAGTAGTTAACCCTTGAAGCGCCATTCGTACAGCACTGGTGGAGAAAATGCTGAGTATGCATGTGTCTGTATAGAATTTATTCTTCTATGACTTTATCAGATACAAAGCAGAAGTGTGATAAAGGTAATTGTGAGTGAGGAGCCATCATTTATCTGTTCCGCTTTGAGAAATATCCACCAAAATGAATTGATTAAGAAAAACAAAGGCTTTATTTTTGCTTTATCATGTTCACAAACTGTATAGGGTACAATGGAAGAGGCTAAGATGTTCAGGGGCGGGGAGGGGTTTGCAGTCATAATGCCTCTATTTATAAGCCCATGACTACAGGAGCAGGATCCTAAGATTTGGCAGCATCCACTACCTGGTCCATGTGGCAGAGATAAATAGATTTTCAGTTATGGGCTAGAGTTAAAGGAACACTATAGGGTCAGAAAAGCAAATGTGTATTCCGGACCCTATAGTGTTAAACTAGCTATTTAGACCCCTGCCTCCCCCCCTTGCCCTCCTTAAAGCTAGTAAAAACTCACCTTATTTCAAGCGCTGCGCAGGTCAGCTGGTGCTGGCACCACCCCTGAACTGTTTCCTTGGTGGCATCAAAATTGATGATCTCAGCCAATCACAGTGCTTTCTCATAGGAAAGCATTGTATTGGCTGAGATTGTCAATTCTGATTATGTCAGCTAAGGAGGCGGAGCCAAATGCTGGCCTGGCCAATCAGCATGTTCTCATAGAGATGCATTAAATCAAAGTTCAGCACACTGCCCCAGGAAGCACCTCTAGTAGCCGTCTGAGGATTGGCCACTGGAGATGTCCCTAGGCTGTAATGTGAACAACTACATTAAGCTTGTTCTGATGACTATAGTGTCCCTTTAAGAAGTGTGTTACTTACGTAGGACAAATATTTCACCCTGACTACTTATATCTTTTTAACATATAGGCTTCCTTCTGGGAAAGTTCAGCTTTTTGTGTAATATAACTAAGTGAAAAAATATGTAGGTAAAGATAACATACGTATATAAAATCTATTATTTAAAAACCACCCATATTTCTCATACCTGGTTCCTTGTTCATGTGTGCTAATTATAAGAATTTATCATATTTTAGTTATCTGACCGAACACTCAAAAGAGAATCAAATATGTTTTGCAGACCTCCATTCTCATGCAAGATATCTGTGTCGCTAATGGTTGTTTATCCCTGATTTAGTTCAATTATTTCTTTCTTTACTGATTTACTGTTTTGTTATCTGGATTGCTCGTTCCATGCTTGATTGTTAAAGGCTATCTATCCATGACCTAGTTGTGCTATTCTCTCTTCTATTTATATATTGTGCTGGGATCACATCACGAATATGTTTACTATTCTTAGTACTCTTCAAAGAAAAGCTATTTGAATGTGTGAGTCACTCACTGCTTTCAAGTAATAGGTGAAGGTAATAAAAAAGGTGTGCCTGATTCAAATTACCTTTAAAGTCACCCAGAACACTTCATCACATGATGTGGTCTGGGTGCAGTGTCTCTGTCCTTTTAATTGCACTTTTGTAGAAACAGGAATGTTTACATTGCAGAAATATAAACCCCTTTAGTGGCTGTATACCAGACAGCAACTAGAGGCGCTTAAGCTGCACTGACTGAGTAAAACTTGGCCCCAAGATGTTGTAGCTCATAGGAAAGAACTGACTCAATGCTTGTCTATGATTGCACACAGAGCTTCCCGTACGTGTGCATCAGGTCCACAAGGCTCCTCTATGAAGAATATTGGATAGGACTAGCGATGGTGGGAAGTGCTGTTGATAAATGTTATTTGTCTCTCCTTTGATCTCCTGATTCAGCTTTGTTTCTTAATTATACTACATAAAGCAGTTGGCCTTCCTGCTTAGGACATTGGCAACAGCCTGATATGTTTATGTTTAGTGAAACTTGACCACTTTTTTTTTTTCCCTTTGATGTTATCAGAAGAAGCTAGAGTAGGGCATTAAACCCTTATTAAATGACAATGACCATGGCAAATTTTCCAAGTGGCGTATATTTATATATGCTGAAACATACCAATGGTTAACTGATTGGGGTAATTTCTCATTCAGGACCCAGATCACCTTTAGATTTAAAAAAAAATAAAAAAAAAAATAGTTCCCCAGTATTTAATATCTTGTCCCAAATCGAAGCATATTCCTTTCTCAGCATTCTGTTTTTCAAGACTTTAAGATGTAGAACCATAGAAAATTGAATATTGTTATAAAAATAAAATAAAAAAAAAAAGACACACCAATTGCAATTTACAATCTTAACATAAGTTTAAAGCTGACCAGATGGCACTTTGACCCCATCATTGAGATACATTGCTTCTCATTACCAGGTCCCAGGTTTTGAGATAGTGGTTGCCTGGGTACAGACATTAATGTCTGTTGACTTGAGCTACTAACTCAACCTCCCCCTAAATATCTCCAACTTAGTGTATACATTAAATTAGCTTACAGAGTTTGCACAGCTGCTCACTGTACGTTTGTACAAAGGGATTCGACATGTCATAAAATTAGATCTGGTGCATTTTACGTGAAAAAATAACAGGTCAAGTAGAATGACCACACAAAAAGATGATGGTCTTACAGAGGTGAATGTTAGCTTGTTGACCATCCAATCCTTAATCAACTCCTCCGCTTAGAGAAGTTAAATCGTGACCAAAGGGTAACAGCTGGTACAATCTGAATGCAAACTTTGAAAAAAGTGGTCTTGTTTCAGTAAATGTGTGGCAGGCAGATTGCCAGCGCTTAACAGGTCTAAAGGGTTGATTTGCTTTTTAGATTCTAACAACAATGAGTGTTCTACAGAAGTGGAATTGCCATAGCAGAATTGGTGCACTAGTGATGTATGCCTTTGACATGCAAAACACAGCAACCCCTTTTGACTTCTCTGCGATGATCCTATACTTTTTCTAATCAGATGGCTTTTTTTTTTCTCTCAAACTGTGTCACTTTATTTAAATTGTCAGCTGTGATATTTATAGGATCGGTAAAAGTTCCAGTATTTAACGATCGTGACACTGTATTTCAAAATTGATTATCTACATGGTTTTGTAATGAAACTAGTAAGACGTTCTGCAAATATTTTGGGAAATAAATAACAAAATTGCTATGGTGGTGCACATTATATACATATTTTTAACTCCTGTTTTTACTCTTTTTATGAAAGTCCACCTCGCTCTCAGACTCCCCAGAGTATTCAGAGATCTATAGAGAGTGACACACAGGGCAGCAAGGAAAAGAGCAGTTCTCAGGTATTTTAAATATTTTTTTAATGTGCAATTTTAGACGTTTGCTTCTTTTTTACGTTACATGCTCCCATTGCAGTTATGCCTTTCCTGCATATTAAAAAAATTATATAAATGAAGTAGAGCAAATACGAGTATCTGGTGTCTAATTTTCCACTAACATAGAAACATAGAATGTGACGGCAGATAAGAACCATTCAGCCCATCTAGTCTGCCCAATATTTCAAAATACTTTTAATTAGTCCCTGGCCTTATCTTGAGTCTAGGATAGCCTTATGGCTATCCCACGCATGCTTAAACTCACTCGCTGTGTTAACCTCGACCACTTCAGCTGGAAGGCTATTCCATGCATCCACTACCATCTCAGTAAAGTAATACTTCCTGAAATTATTTTTAAACCTTTGCCCCTCTAATTTAAGACTATGTCCTCTTGTTGTGGTAGTTCTCCTTCTTTTAAATATAGTCTCCTCCTTTACTGTGTTGATTCCCTTTATGTATTTAAATGTTTCTATCATATCCCCCTGTCTCGTCTTTCCTCCAAGCTATACATGTTAAGATCCTTTAACCTTTCCTGGTAAGTTTTATCCTGCAATCCATGAACCAGTTTAGTAGCCCTTCTCTGAACTCTCTCTAAAGTATCAATATCCTTCTGAAGATACGGTCTCCAGTACTGCGTACAATACTCCAAGTGAGGTCTCACCAGTGTTCTGTACAATGGCATGAGCACTTCCCTCTTTCTACTGCTAATACCTCTCCCTATACAACCAAGCATTCTGCTAGCATTTCCAGCTGCTCTATTACATTGTCTGCCTACCTCACAAGAATAGAAACACACACTATGCAATTGATGGAATACAAAGTATATATTATAAATTGCAACAATGAAATCACGCCAGCATTACGTATTATTGAAAGGCAGCAGCCACTGTCGAAAGTGTCAGTTAGATTCATTGAAGTACCTGCTTTCCTGGTAGCAGCTACGTCGTTTTTTTTGATGTGTTGTTTTTAACTTTTGCAGTTTGTTGTAAACTATTTCTATTCTGTTAGCACCAGCAGTTGAAAAAGGCAGCGGTTTCTGCCAAAACACTGAGGTCAGCTTTTCCCTCTGTGTCTGTGTGCGTTCATGCTATTTTTCTATGTAGTATAAATGTAACGTGCTTTACTTATTTTATATATTTTATTTTATAATTTTTTTTTAATTTCTTCCACTACAGTCAGAAGAAGATTTTATTGATCGTCGGAAAGAGTTAGAAAACTTACTAAAAAAGAATTCAGACTGGATATGGGATTGGTCTAGCAGACCAGAAAATATACCACCCAAGTAAGATTATTATTATTATTATTATTATTATTGCTGTTATTATGTTTCTTACAGTGAATAGGGCATTTCATTCGACCAACCTTAAGTATTAAATCTTTCTTTTGTTTCCAGTAGAGCTTTTCTGTTCAAACATCCCAAGCGTATCACGGCCCTCAGCATGAGGAACACAAGCGTCATGAAGAAAGGGGGGATTTTTTCTGCAGAATTTTTAAAAGTTTTTCTACCATCATTGCTGCTTTCTCATATTCTGGCTATCGGATTAGGGTAAGTAAGCATAAATTAAACACAAGTAAGACTGGTCTTATCTCTAATATTATTCAAATGTCTTATAATAAGAAAACTAGCCACCGTGTTTCCCGAAAATAAGACATCTCCCAAAAATAAGCCCTAGCTTATTTTTGGGGGATGCTCGTAATATAAGCCCTACCCCGAAAATAAGCCCTGGTCGCTTGTTGATAATTCGCTAATCTCTGTTCGGGGAAGTTTCTCAGAACAAAGATTTGCGGGATTCCATGCCCTAGTTAACAGGTCTGCGTTTGGGGGAATTCCCCCGAACGTAGAACTTCTTTGTAGTACATGCTTGCTACCGTTTCCCCCCGAAATAAGACATCCCCCTAAACGAAGCACTAGGGAATAATATAAGACCCGGTCTTATTTTTGGGAAAAGTCGGTATTAATACATTCCAAGCAGATATGGCTTCACAGAAACAAATGCAGGGGAATTATTGCAAGTAGCGAAATGCACAGAATTAGAGATTGAATTAGCATTGAAGAAAAGTATATGAAAGGAATTCAATGTAATATAACAACAGTAATTAATTGTATAGCGAACATTAGTTGGTAGTGTAGCTTACTGTTTAGGTGCATAGATGAATATATTTCTATAGAAAAACACTTGATATAAATGAAACAAAAGTGCTTAATGTTACTAGAAACGTTCTGAGCTTTATGGAAACTAACAAGGACAGTTATAGAGAATCAGAGCAGCCCAAGAAGGTAAATGCACTACAGGGACAAAAGTATTGGGACATACCTCTACATTATTGAATTCAAGTGTTTGAATCAGATCCATTGCCACCGGTGTATAATATCCAGCACCAAGCCATGCAGTCTGCATTTACAAACATTTGTGAATATAATGGGCCGTAAAGAGCTCAGTGAATTCAATCAAGCCACCTTTGCAAATAAGACCGTTCGTGAAATTTCATCCCTGTTAGATATTCCATGGTCAGCTGTAAGTAGTATTTTTTGAAAGTAGAAGCGTTTAGTAACAGCAGCATCTCAGCCACGAAGACCACGTGGCTGAGCAGGGTTACGTAAAAGGTACGGGGTGCGTAAAAGTTGCCAATGCTCTGCTGATTCCATAGTTGAATAGTTCCTGTGACAGATCCATCTGTCTAAGTACTATCTGCTGGTTCATCTATTTTGTTATACAGTCGTGGAATTACCTGCCCGTGCGTCCCTGTTCGTTTATTTGAGTTTATACCAAATAAAACTACCGAACGGCCGGCCACCCAGAAGAGAAGTGTGCTGCTGGTTAACCTATTGGCCTCAATTAGAACGTTGTGGTTAACCGCAGACACCTCTTAATTGGAACCGTATGCTGGGTAGTCGTCGTTCGTATGTCGACCACGAGGTGGCGGCCATTTTAAACACACGAATGAACAGCGGTGTTCGACGATGAACTTATGGAACTCAAACCAGACACCCTTTCTACCGAACACCGCTGAAACTGCCGACCGCCCTTCTTATCATCAGGCATACGAACGCCGGTCCATCGGGACTTTTTATTGTACGAATGGACTTAACCCAAATAGCCATCCCATGGAGTCATTCGTATACCGAAAGAACAGCGTGAAAGACTTTGACTCCATGGCGATTGAACTGTGTGCATTGGGTCTGAGCGCTATTCGGTAGTAATGTGCGCTCAGATCTAGGCTATCTGGGGATACATTATACGAATTAAATGCATTCGGTAGCTTTACATTTATGGATTTTTATGTGTTTTTATTATACCATGTAAAATGGCGGTTTGCCTCTATCCTTGGAGATAATTGAATTTCTTCCCAATTATCTCCAGGATAGAGAGGAGGGGTTTACCTGTACAAAGGGGAGTGTTTATACCTGAGCCACTGTGATTGGCTACTGTACCTCATTTGTCCCAGTCTTCCATCTGGTCCCCTAGGGGAGTGTCCACCAAGTGGGAGACCTGCATAAATACCGGGCAGGTAGCCCTCAATAAACCAGAATCCTGTTTTACCCTCAAGACGGAGCTTGGTCTCATGTTTGGGGGGATTGCTACTTTGGAGTATTCTTTTGCCTTTTCCAGGAGAGAAGGATTTCGACTGATTCTCAGTTCGGGGAATTAGAGTGTTTGTGAGCTGCTAGTCCCGTATTGAGGAGAGAGGTCTTTCGTATAATTATCCAGTTCGGTGAATTGAAGCGTTTGTGAGTTGCTATTCCTGTAATAAGGTGAACTCCCAATTCGCTATTAACCCACGATACCCGGGTTATACCATAACAGTTCCAAACTTCCATTAAATATCATTAATTTTTTACTGATTAGTATCAGCACAGAAACTGAGCAGCTGGAGCTTCACGGAATGGGTTTCCAGGGCCGAGCACCCTCACATCACCAAGAACATTGCTAAACTGTTTCTAAACTACAGCTTAATGTCATTTATATGAGTGTTTACTCAAAAAAAAATTTTCATGATGTTTGTTATGAAAGAAAAAAAAATTTAATTCTGCATTTTCCCATTTAGTTTATTTTTATATATTTTATCTACTGCAACTCAGAATCCTTTTGATGGTACACCATCTAACCCATGGGTCGTCAACCTGGTCCCTACCGCCCACTAGTGGGCGTTTTAGGATTCCAGGTGGGCGGTAGGGATTTCTGAGGCTAAATCCTCTTTTTAAGAGGATTTCTCCTTTTGGGCGGGCGCGAGCGGCTCTGCATGCGCAAGTCTTCAGTGACCGGCAGGAGGAAGCGCTCCCTCCTGCCAGGCCACCTTCTGGACCCCCCGGCATGGCAGAGTTCTAATCAGTCGCGGCGAGGGAGCTCTAACCTCTCTGCTCTGCTCCCTCGCGCGATGTTTGCTGATGCCGCGGGAGCCGGAATATGATGTCATATTCCGGCTCCCGGCATCCGTAGACAGTCCGCGAGGGAGCAGAGCAGAGAGGTTAGAGCTCCCTCGCAGCGTCTGATTAGCCGCCCGCCTAAGTGAAGCCCCACTGGACCCCAGGGACAGATCCACACCAGCTCTCCAGGTAGGGAGGCTGGGTGGATATTTAATATTAATAATTTGTGTGTATATGTGTTTGTCTCTAAGTGTATGTGTGTGTGTGTCTGTAAGTGTATGTGTGTGTGTCTGTAAGTGTATGTGTGTGTGTCTGTAAGTGTATGTGTGTGTCTGTGTCTGTAAGTGTATGTGTGTGTCTGTGTCTGTAAGTGTATGTGTCTGTCTGTAAGTGTATGTGTCTGTCTGTAAGTGTATGTGTGTGTGTCAGTGTGTGTGTGTCTGTGGGTCTGTCTGTGCATGTGTGAGTGTCTGTAAGTGCATGTGTGAGTATGTGTATATTTGTGTGTATGTGTTTCAATGTGAGTGTGTGTGTGTGTGTGTATGTGTTTGCCTGTGAGCAGAGTACTTGTAGAATAGAAGAAAGAAGGTGCAGAGTACTTGTAGAATAGAAGAAAGAAGGTGCAGAGTACTTGTAGAATAGGAGAAAGAAGGAGTAGAGTACTTCTAGTATAGGGGAAAGAAGGAGTAGAGTACTTCTAGTATAGGGGAAAGAAGGAGTAGAGTACTTCTAGTATAGAGGAAAGAAGGAGTAGAGTACTTGTAAAAAAGGAGAAGGAAAGAAAAGGAAAAGGAGAGAATTGTTGTTGACTAATAATAGTAAGTGGGCTACCTAGCTCAGCCTTCCTACTGGGCATTGCTATAAGGAAGGTTAAAAAATAGAAAAAAAGGGGAAAAAGGTGGGAAGGGGAATTGAGGAGGGAGAGGAGGGGAGCTGACGCACAGATGAGAAATCATTTTATGAGCAAACAAAGAAGTCTTCCGATTATCACTGAAAGAGGAGACCTTCGTTTGTTCCTTATGAAAATCGAACCAGATATCAAATATTTAGTCTCGCAGCATCAACCTCAAGGATCTCATTAATCACTAGTAAAGGTAAGCTCAATTTACTTTATTGCTTCCTCATTAAACTTTATAAAGTTAAAAACATTATAAACATGCATAAAGTAGAAATAAAAAGATAAATGTACGTTCATTTATGTATTTTTTAAAACACCCTCCTTTCTAAAAAATATTCTGCGCTTGCGCGAAAACTGGTGGGCGGTAAGGAAATTTTTCCATCAAGAAAGATGCATTAGTGGGCGGTAAGTGGAAAAAGGTTGACTACCACTGATCTAACCTATTGGATACAAATAGCCAAATCTACTATTTGCTGAGTAACCGATAGAGGCCTTGACATAATTGAGAATCATAGGTATTTCCTTTTGATCAGACTGCTGTTTCTAGACTTTGTCCTAAAGAGCCTCCACTAGTCTAGGTTTCACAGCTATCAATGTGAACTGGTGTTATAGACTGAACAAATGATTATCTCCCTGGTGTTCCAACAATGGATATATAATGGATTCCAAAAGGAAAGGATTGAGTAACACTGATTTCACACCGTGTGAGCTGAAGTCAAACATTTCAACTACAAGTGAAAAGCTATCATTATACATTCATATGATCCTCTGTCCTCTACAAACAAAACAAACGTTTGACTTGCTTGCGGTTTAAACAAAATAACTTAACGTCGACAAACACCAGTCTTTAAATTCTTTAACATATTAACCTAAGCTTCTCAAACTCGCATGAATCTCATGCCATCTATTGCATTTAAAAAACGGTGGGAGCTATATGCTATTAACATTGGAGGAGGGGCATTAACTCCTTAGTGAACAAGACTTTTCTATAAATCTGCGCATTCTACATTTTCACTATGTATTTGTACCATTGTAGTACACCAATATACGGAAGCCCAGAGAGGCCATGTAGTTTTACAATTTTTTTTCTGACCGTCAGAAAAATATTAAAATTGCTTCATACTATGTAGAATAGAATATTTTTTTTTTTTTTTTTAATGATAACCACCTATATGTAAACATAGCACAATGTGAAATATGAATAAAAAAATAAAGGTAAGAAAAATAAATCATGTCTACACAATTAGTACTAAAGAAATAACTCAAAATATATTCAAGTTTTATCTCTGATTTTTAAAACGTACAGTATGCCTAGTATTTCAATGAATATTTAGTAGGTAAAGCAGTGCTCCTCAACCTTTTCTCACGCAAGGCACACCAAAGCTCTTCTCAGAATTCCACGGCAAACCACAACCACGAATATATGACCACAATGTCACAGTGCCCCAGCACACTTGCCGTAAGGTCACACTGCCCCCATAGCACTTGCAAAAGGGTCACACTGCCCCCACAGCGTCTACGTGTGTCACATTAACTCATGTCTATTTTCACATTGCTCCACAGCACTTGGCACGGTGACAATTAAACAACAAACAAAACTTGCCTGTTGCCCAGTATCAGTTTGCCCAACACAACATGCCACAGTCAGTTTTCCAATTAAATATATACCATAGTCAATTTGCCCATTAAACCTGTCAAGCCAGGTGCCCATTAAAAAATACCTGTAATTTTGCCCATTTATAAATTTTATTCAGTGTTAATAAATATCACAGTCAGTGTGCATATTGATAAATATGACACTGATGCACAGAGATATACATTGACACAATATGTATTGGGATGTGTGTATTTCTGGCATTGGTTAATTGGGTTTGTGCCTGAGAGTGTGCATATGACAGATAGTATCCTTGTATGTGACTTCATGTCTCTGTGAGTATGTGTAGGTTTGTGTCTGGGGCTGTAAGTGTGTGGGGTAGCTGCTTATTGTGTTTATGGTGAAGCTATGTTTCATGACTGTGTGTGTGTGTGTATGATGACTATCTTCAGGGGTGACTTTAGACAGGGTGGGTAAAGGGGGTAACTGGCAGGCTGAGTGTGACAGGGCAAGAGGGATGAATAATAGAGTGTTGGGGTGAGTGTTACATAGTTGGAGGAGGGAGTCAAACAGGGCAAGGCGAGCTTGACAAGCTTACAGGAATTAATGTGACAGGGCATGGTTGGTGGGAATAAATGTGACAGGTTTGGATGGGTTAATGTGATCGGTGAGTGTGGGAGGGTGATTGGGAGTGAGTGTGACAGTGCGAGAGAAGGATGGAATAATTTAATAGTGTGTGTGGCAGAGCGATGGGAGGTGAGTGGTGTGGTTGGAGAGAGTGACAGATTAGTTTAGAGAGGCAGACAGGGTCTGAGGCAGCAGCTGCAGACTTAAATAAAAGTAAGATTTTACTGTATTAAGGAGGGCGGGATGGTGGTTTTAACACTATAGGGTCAGGAATAGATGTTTGTGTTCCTGACCGTATAGTGTTCCTTTAACCCCTTAAGGACACATGACGTGTGACATGTCATGATTCCCCTTTATTCCAGAAGTTTGGTCCTTAAGGGGTTAAAGGGACACTATAGTCACCAGAACAACTACAGCTTAATGCATGTCCCTGCAGGTTTTTACTGTAAACAGAGACAATGCAGTGCTAATATTACTGCCTACCTCGCGTCCCTACTTTTTCTCTGTATATCCTTTCACTGGGTTGGAATTTCAGTGAAAGACCAACACAGTCAATCTGAGTATTTCATAAAGATTCAATCTTTATGAAATTTTTGATAAGGGGGTGATATAACTGCTTTAATAACATATTAGAAAGTAACTAATCACAGGTACACAATCGTAATGCTATAATAATGTTTTGTAATATATATGGCTCACTGTGGGACTCTATAGCCTTTTGGTGCAGTCAGGTCATGGCGGTTTTCCAATCTGCACCACTAGAAATTATCAGTTAATAAGAAAAAATGTGGATGCAGCACTTGGAGAAGCAAGCTGTTCGGAGGCTTAATAGCTTGTCAAAAATCAATTCACTTTATTGAGAATGTACAAAAAAAAAATTATACATGCAATCTTCATCTAGAGACAGCGGTCGTAAACAAAGTCTAACTCATTTCATTAAAGCAACGTGTGTCATTGTTACGAACTGGTATTTAGGAAGAAAACTCGTGACTCGCATTTACTAATAAAAGACTGTTTTTTCTTTATTTATTGAAACATGTTTGTAGTTTAATATTCTATAAAATTTAATATTCTAATATTCTATACTTTATAACATACATTCTGTTTACATTTTAAGGGTGTATATTGGACGGCGTCTGACAACATCTGCTGGCACGTTTTAGGTGGACAAGAGTCAACATTTTATTTGAGCATAAAAAATAAATCATTCATTTCTCCTGCTCTGTAAATGAATGTTTTGCATTAAGCTTAATCGTAGTGATGGGATATCTGCCTGTAAAAGAATGATGGCAAACTTTGGCACTTTGTGTTTTTCAAATGTTTCCCATGATGCTAAGCCCAAGTATCAACGTTGGCTATTACAGCTCTTGATGTAAGGTAACATTTTCATTTAAATCACTGAGTGTACAAAATGCATTTTCAGCAACTGTGAATCACAACAGCATAAGACACAAGTAGGCTTTCAGTGTGAAAGGGTCATTTTCCTGTGCCCACTTTTGTAAAAGTGACTATGAAACCCATGGTGTGGTCCCTGGCATCTGGTTTTATCTTGCAACTGTGAAGTGTCAGTTTTGAGATTCTGAACTCTATTGGAGATCTTTCTTTAAAACTAAATGTATAAAAAATATTCAATTTAGTGTTCATCTGTCCAGCATATGTCAAATAATTGTATCAAATCTTGTGTTTAGAAGTTTGTTTTATGCACAAATATCAAGCCTGTAAATATTACAAGCATAGGTGGCAACTAATGATGCTGATTTTAGCACTGAATGAAATTACTGCACTAGTGTTAGGGAAATATTATCTCAATAGAATCAAAGAAAGAAACATTGATTCAAATTGGTCTGTAAGAAGTCATCTGCATGTATACTCTTACATTTCATAAAACCATCTAAAAATATATATCTTATTCAGTACAGTGAGCTTTGGAAAGATAAAAGTTTGGCAAATTAAGGCCAGAAACGATCCCTTGCTTGGCTGTGCTAGAGATTTTTATGAATTTGACCAATCTGTCCCAGATTTTACAACTAGGATGCATTTAATGGATAAACCCCAATGTGTGCTCTGGCATACACTTACCTAATGATTACATAGTTTATAAGTTAAAAAGACACTACAGGCACCAAAACAACTTTAGCTTAAAGGGACACTCTAGTGCAAAGAATACAGAGCTGTATATCTGGCACTATTGCCCCCCCTCCCTCCTGGTAAGTCAAGGGTTAAAAACCCTTTATTTACTTACCTGATCACAGCTCTGATGCCGGTTTTCTAGAAGGGGTAAAGTGTTACATTGTCAAAGAAAAGGAACATTGTTGGACCAAGACCACTACATTAAAAGGACACTATAGGCACCCAGTGGTCTGGGTGCAGTGCTTCTCTCCCCTTAACGCTACAAGTGTAAACATACATTGCAGGGTTAAGGCTGTCTCCCAGACAGTTTACCAAAACAATGCAGGTCTTGACTCAATGCTTTCCTATGGGAAAGGTCTAATACGCTTGGTGCTCACCGTGCATTAGGTTCCCCCTATCGCTGCCAATTGTAGAGGTGAAAAATTTTTTAATCCTTTATTAGGAGGGTTGTTGTTGTTGGGGCAAAATACACTTTTGTGTTGAAAACACTATGGTGTTCATTTAAGATGCAGTGGTTTTGGCGTTTAGATTGAACCTTGAATATAGATTGAGTAAGTTTAAAAAAATAAATAAAAAATCTATGGATCTTAATGCCCTAAGAACTAGTGACATGCTAGCACTGTAACAATAACAAGGGATATAGCTTTACCATAAGAGGTTAGGAATTAAAGAAGCAAATCTGGTACAATTATTCCCTTAAACATTTATCAGATATATTCTGTGTAGGAGCTGAATTTGAAAACAAAATAAAAAATATATAAAGTATCTAAATGCCAAGCTATAAATTAAATAACAATCTGCCAAAAAAAGCACATTATAATAGCACCTTTAAAAATTCTAAAATAAATTTATATAAAGTTAAATTGGATATATTTATATTGTGATTACATAAATATGCAGCTCATTTTCTTTGGATATATGCTCACTGTAAATATGTAATGATGGTACGTGATTCATTCTTATAGAATTGTTTTTAAGCTAGTTATTAAGATTCCTTACAAATCACCACATTTAATAGCTTTTCTGCAACTGGAGCTTATGCTGTGTTTTCTTAAATATCTTATATATATTTATGGATTTATTATACAGCACAATTATGTGTATTATTTTTGTAGAATTCATTGAAAAAAAGTTTTATTACAGGAATTTATTCCCTAAAGGCAGCGTTGACCATAAGTTATGTGGGCATTCATGGATGAACAGTTGGATCCACTTAGGTATTGATTAAAATGCACCCAAAATTGGCCAACCCTCTCAGGATCCTCCACACTCGTTTATCCAACCAAGGTCAATTGCAAAATGTGTTTCCAAAGTACTGTTACTATGAGCCCATTGCAATCAGTTATCCTAGTGGGCTTCACTACCTAAACATAATATCTAGTGAAACGGGTGCTCAATTTGACTGGACCACTAGATTAATATTACCAGGCTTTAGAGAATCAATCCAAGTACCTTAATCTCTGCTTTTAGCGAATAATTCCTTTGGAAGTGAATTGAAAATTGAATCCAGTGCTATTCGATGACATTTAAAAAAAATAAAAAATAAAATAATATACTGGATTCCATGGAATAACAGTGGCAGTTTTACATGTTTCAAATATTCACTTATGAATAAATCTAGTTCTTACAGGGTGATTAAGTGCTGTGTTAGGTCATTGTTTGCACGTGTGTATTACCTCTTCAATGTGTAATCAAAATAACAGTGCAAAATACTAGTAATTTATGAATGTTCTTTATGTACATCTCTGCAAGAAATAAAGAAATGAATGTTTTAAAAGCCATACCTTGTACCTTATTTAAAGCTTATGTCAAAATAATTCTTGACTTAAACACTATAAAGTCAAGTTTGCTAATAAGCCTAAGCATTGTCAGCTAGGGTACTGTATTGCATGATTGAAATAAGTTTTTTTTGATCCCTTTCACAACCGCAGGTGGCGGGAACTTAATGAAATAGTGAATATACAGTAGTAAAATATGTGTGGTAGCAAGAGTAGCTACAAACCACCTAAGTGGAAACCCCTTATACCACTTACACAGAAATATTTATAGATACATACAATTGGTGGAACACACATCTGACGGTTCTAGAAAACAAAACAAAGTGACATAGTACAATACTGTATAGTATAGATTTATGATAGACGCAATAGAGCAATAGTACTCACAAGCCCAGAGCCAAATTAACATGGCTCTCATGGGGAACGTAGGGGGACTCTTAATAGGATGTCCCCATCCTTCTTCTTCTTTCTTGGATAATTTGGATGAAGGAAAGGTAAAAATGTAATGTTCCAGTGTATTATTCCAAAGAAAATAAACTTTATTGTTAAAAAATACACAAAACAACGTGGAAAAATTTCCAATAAAAAAGTATTAATAAAGATAAAAGTCCTGTATAGACTGTCTATTCCAAAACGCGTTTCGCCCTATGGTGGGGGCTTCCTCAGTTGGTGTCAGTCAATATCTCCTGGGGGGCCTTCTCGGCGTCCATTTATGTCATATCTTCGTTTTACTTCCGGGTTTCCGGCTATCCGTGTTTGGAACGCTTGATGCGTTCCACCGCCGGCTACATGTGTTTCACTTCCGGATCTTGTGTTTCATATCAGCAGGACGCACAATAGACGTCACTGGAACACATAATTTCCAATTTATGCGTTCCACTTTGAACAAATTCAATATTAACTTCATCTTAAGATATTCATATTCATTTTACAAATATTTCTATGATACATCAATTCTAACATTACAATAGTATTGAATACCCATAAAATGTTACATATAGTACATATATATTTCCTAGTGTGTGAAATTTGTTTATTTCTAAAAAGAGGAATGTGATCCGTGTGAATTAATTTTAAAGGTGAAATATTAATGCTAATTCAAATAAAAGGAGTATATAGCTAAAAACTTAATATTTATGGTACTAGTAATGATAGAAAAGACTAAAATATAAAAATATAAAAAGAAATTTAATAAAATAAGTGTGTTAAATAAAATGACAAATTTCAAAATCCGAGTTAAGACCATAAGGAATCAGGGTGTTAAAATTAAAAATAAATTTCATCTCTTCTGAACCTATTTTCTTGGTGTAATCTCCTCTCCAATCTTTTTTAACTGTTTTTAATGGGCAAAAGAAGAGATGGTCTGGATTGAGATTGTGGTGAGTTTTTAAATGGTTTGAGACACTATGTGTCTCCAAACCTTTTTTAATATTTCTAACATGTTCGGATATCCGAACATGTAAGCATCTAATCGTCCTACCTATGTATAATAAATTACAGGAGCATTTCAATAAATAAATGACCCCTTTCGAAAAACAGGTCAGTTGGTCTTTTATAACAAAATCAATATTGGTGTGTTCTTTGAGATTCTTTACATGTCTTTTTGGATTTTTTGTTGATCTGCATGCTAGGCATGTCCCACACCCATAAAAACCTTTGCTTTGATTTAGAAAGTGCTTAGTGGTTTTTGATAGACCTTCACTACTATGAACTAATAATCTTTTTTTTAAATTAGCTGCGCCTCTATAAATAACTTTGGGTCTTGTTGGTAATAAGTTTTTCAAGATTGGATCTCTTTGTAGGGGATATGCCAATGTTTTTTAATAGCCCTATTTACTTTATTGTAATTTCCATTGAAGTTACATATAAAGTGGGCTTTATTTGTATTTGTATTTTTAGGATTTTTTTTGATGTTTGTAAATTAACAACTGCTCTCTAGGAGTATTCTGAATTTCTTCCATAGCCATAGTTAGTTTGGTTTCTTCATAGCCTTTTTCTAAAAATTGTTTTTTTAATTAAACTTGACTTATATAATCCTGTTCAGTCGTACAATTGCGTCTTATTCTTAGAAACAATATAAAATCCATTTGTTCTTTTTTTAAATTGGCTTTTATTAAAAAATATTTCACCGCTTCTAAACCAACTTCATGCGGAATTATACTGTATAACGATGTAACATCACTAGTAACTAGTAGATCACTATCTTCCCATTTAATTGTTTCTAAAAGTTGTAGTATGTGTATAGTGTCTTTCAAATACGTTGGATTTCTTACTACTATTGGCTGTAAAAGTAAGTCAATATACGCAGACACTCTGGAGGAAATGGAATCTATCCCAGATATAATTGGGCATCCTGGGGGATTTTTTAAATCTTTGTGAAGATAATAAAATACTGGAATTTTTGGATATGAAATTGATATTCTCCTTTTTTGTTAGTATGCCCTTATCTAGGCCTTTTTGTATATATTTATCGAATAGATCTTTAACTTTGCTAGTCGAATCGGAGTTTAATTTTCTATAAGTATTCTCATCAGAGAGAATTCTCTCAGATTCTTGTAAATATTGCGCTTTGGAGAGAACCACTATTCCTCCCCCTTTATCAGCTGGTTTGATAACCAGGTTTTCATTCTTTTGTATCTTTCTCAAAGTGTTTCTTTCTTTCACTGACATGTTATCTTGATATTTATTTATTTTTTACTTTATTTCTATCATAACTGTCATCTCAAAGGCTCTCATCTTGTTTGAGATCATATTCTTAGGAAAAAAATTTGACCCTTCTTTTAGATCTGTATGTATGAATTCTAGTTCGTTTTCTTGTTCTATTTGGCGTCATTGTTTCCTTGTTATAAAAAAAAAATTTTTTTAGGCATAATTTTCTTACATTTATTCATGTCAATAAACAATTCAAACTTATTTAATTCTAGTGTAGGCGCAAATTTAAGACCTTTTTTGAGGACTTTTAATTCCTCATTTGTTAATGGATGATCAGTAAGGTTGAAGATTCCATCTGAGTTTATTTCTTCCCTCTTTTTTTCTTTGTTCCCTCTCTCTTCCTCTTCTGTTTCGTAAGCTGTTGACCTCTGGTGTTTGCCCGGGGATTCCCATGATGGAGGTTTTTCTTTCCATTTGAATCTCTCTTTGATTGGTTCTCTCCAAAAAAAACGAAGAGGAAGATGCTTGTTGTGTCTTATCTTCTAATATTGTTTCTGTTGTTTGTAACGGTCTTGTTCCATCATCAGGATTCCTAAGTTCTCTATCATCTCTTCTTCTCTCTCTAATTGGGTTCATTCCAGAATGGAAATTTGTGACTTTTCATAGTTTCTATATCTACATTTTTTCTTATCGGTTCGAGGGAAGGTCTCTTTCCTTTTTCATATTCCCGGTCTTCTCTCTGATTCTGTGGGGACCTTCTGTCAGTTCTACTTAGACCTTGTCTCACTACATCACTATAGCTTCTGTTTGGGCTATCATGTGAGGGAATATATCTTTTATTTGGATGATTGTATGTTAACGTAGAAGTGGAAGATGTATGCATATTTCTTCTAGGCATTTCTCTATGTGGTCTTAGTTCCAAGTTGTCCCTATAGTTAGTATTGCGATTCCCATTTCCATAAGGTGACTTCATTTCTTCTTGTGTTCGCCACTGTCTATTTCTATGATTATATACTTGATCTTATTAGGATGGGACCTTTTTGGAAATCTTATATTCCAAGTTTTATAGTCGTTGGTGTCTCTTAGATATTTCCTTTTTTTATTTCAATAGTATCTTTTCTACTTTTTCAATTTTGATTTTAATTTAATTTATTTTATTTGATTGAATGTTTCAGGGTTAGTTGTCTCACTAAGTTGTTTCCATGTCATGATTTCCTCATCTATCTGTATTAGATTCTCTTCTAGACACGATATATCCAATCATGCTAAAAGAGAATCCTTCAAGAAGTTTATTCTAACCGGTCATAAAGCAAGGATCTTCTCTATCAAACGTAGGATCTTTTTCAAATCTAAGCCCTCTAGGGGTGATTTGTTCTTTAACTTTTTTTTTTAGGAGTGGCTATCTCCCATTTGATTTTCATTTCTCGTATCAAAGTTTTTTTCTACATTTTTTTGTATTGATATAACCTTTATCGCTGTTTATATCAGCGGTGGAGGAAAACATATGGTCTATATCTTTGATCGTATAATTTCGATCTTCTAAATAAGACATAGTGAAATAAACAATTGAAGTATAGCTTTACACTGTATAACAAAGGGGATTTGGTACAATACAAAATAGTGAATATACAGTAGTAAAATATGTGTGGTAGCAAGAGTAGCTACAACCCACCTAAGTGGAAACCCGTTATACATAATGAGCCATGGACATGGCATAGTCTAGAGCAACGTTTCCCAATTAGTGTTCCGCAGAGAACAAAATTGGGTTTCCGCTGTAATATGCCCAAGCATTTAGGGCCACCCGATGGGTATCACTAAACAGGAATCCGGTCAGGTGCCGCAGGTGTCTAAGACCACGACCAGACCCCTGATGAATGGGATGCTGGGAGGAAGTGACAGCACTTCCTCCCAGACAGAGCGCACCAGCTGGAGGGAGAGTGAGCAACTGCCGACCTGGCACACCATCCTCAGCCAGCAGCACTAAAGGAAAAAAGGTAAGTTGTGCATGTGCCTGTGTGTGAATCTATCTGTATATGCCAGTTTGTGTATCAAGGTGTGTCAGTGTGTGTGTATATATATACAAACACTGATACACACCTTGACATACCGGCACATACAGATACACACCTTGACACAGTGTATCTGTGTGTCAGATACACACCTTTATACAGACACACACCAGCACATTAAAAAAAAAGTTTATGCAACAGTGCAAAATTTGATTGCTTTCAGTACTGCACATAGCAAGGGAAATACATTGGCACGGAGTGTAACATAATACATCCAATATCAATTAGAATTCATAATTTCTCTCCTCTATATTAAAAAGGTATTTGAAAGAGAAGATTGCAAAGAAAAAGAAAAAGAAAAAAAATAGGAGCTTTTTTTCTATTACCTAGCAGTGGGATGTATTGAACAACGGTGTCTGCTGTGCATGTATGTCAGCTTTAACATTTTCTCCACGAGCAAGAGTGGTGTAGCACATTTAGGCTGGGCACTTCTGGCAAAGCCACTACAGCGCTATGGTGCTTGGATTGTTTTAAAAGGAGACAT